GCCTTCATGTATTTAAGATTCAAATTTGATTTTAGGTTATTTTCTGCTTCAAGGTTTCTTTCCCATGTATTTGTAAATACTCAAAATTAGAGCTGGCCAAAATTTTTCAGCAAAAAAAAACAAAATTTTGAGAATTTGTTTTGATCTCACCAAATTGTTTGTGGGGTGGAGTCGGGGGGTAGAGGGGATTTCCAAAAGATTCATAACATTTTGTTTTAACATTTTCAGAATGAAACATTTTGATTTTCTAGTTTGAAACCACTTTCTATTTAAAATTTCTCAACAATGTAATTAAAAAAAAATCAAGTGTTTAATAATCAAGTGAAATAAAATGTTTCAATTTTGACAAAATATTTTGTCCAACTCAACACATTTTTGACTTTTTAAAATCGCAAACTAACAAAAAATGGCTATTTGCCCAGCTCTACCTGAAATGCACTGAACAAAATTAGGAAGATCTTTGCCAAGAGCAAGGATATTGGGTGGTACTACAGTAATATTTTTCATGGGATTTATATTTTATTCCATGTAATATGTTATTCAGTGTGAAGAAGAATGAGTTTCTACTTTAGAGAAAGTCCACTTTGATTATAGGAAAATATTCTTTCAGAAATTTGTCATCTGGGCTGTCTTTTGTTACATTAAGTCTGCTTATCAAATTCAATTCACATCTCATGGGTCAGTTTCACTGAATCAGCCGCATACTTTAGAAGCCTGATTAAAAGCAAGGTACATCTGTAGAGATACTGTGTTGGTGTCCAATAACAGAAGTTTCTATTCAAAACACTAGAGAAAATTTCACACTGGTGAAAATTTGAAGAGGACGTTATACAAAAAAAAGTTTACTTGAATCACTATTGCCTTGGTACTTTGTGAAAATATTTGGTTAAACAAGCATATTTTCTCTTAGCATCCACCTCATACTGCACTGATTCTGCAGTAAGAGAGCGTGGTATTGACAGCCTCACCACAGAAATACCTGTTTGCAAGATAAAGTGCACTAGGCTGCATAGAATCAGTGTTTTAGTGACTTAAAACAGATCCATCAGATTAAATCTTGCAGCACTATTGTACTTTTCATTTACATGCATTAATTTTTACTATTTTGGTGTTGCATACCTTACAGCTTCAATAGTTTATGGTTTCATTATCAAATTCAACAGTTTGCAATTTGTCAGGATAGGTATTTAGATGGTCCACTCTGCTTACGTTTCTGCTACGTTATTTAGGAAGTTACATACTTCTAACGTTTTCCATTTCAGTATTAACCACAACTTCAAACAACACTAGTAGTATTAACCCTATAATCAGTTACAGCAAGCTGCATTTAGTATTAGTGATATTTAACTTTGTCCATTAAGTTAGGTAGTCACAATTTATCTAGCAATCATGAAAAACTATAGTGACACCACTGTACTGCACGAGGTGATTGAGGAAAGTCTGCTAGTAAGAGGTCTAGCAATTCAGCCTAGTATAGACAATGGATAGAGAAGCTGATCAGAGAGAAAATGTTATAAAACAAGCCAATTAGTAAGTGCAAGCTAGGCTAGCAAAGTTACAAAAGTGATGTGATAGGCAGTAGATGTATAAAGTCAATATATTTAAATGGTTTCTCTATTGTACACATTCTCATTTAAGCTGTTTTTGTTACTGAAGCTTACCTAATAAAGATCCACAGTTAGGTGCAGAGCACCAGTACCTTTTATTGGTAATATTAAAGGCTAACATTTTCTTTAAAAAACTCTTAAGTTCATCTATCAAAACCAGTCACAGAAAGTGAAATACATGAACAAAACTACTCCACTTTGTGAACACTGCTATAGCCAAACAAGGATAATATATAGCTTAACATCAAATGGAAAGAGTTACGCAAATTAAAGGGCCACAGCTAACTTAAAAAAAAAAAATTCACATTTCTGTCTGAAAACTTAACTGCAGTAGGTGCAAATTAACCGTTAGATTATTACTTACATTAGGAAAAATATTTTTCCTTTAGTCAGGCCAACTGTTCCCCTATACAGTAAGATAGTTTCTCCTTTGTTAACAAGATCCTTAAAAAATGAGGGAGCATAAAAACCCTTGTAAAAACACTAACAGGGGTTTATAAATTCAGGATATGTTTAAAAGCTCCTCTATTAGAAACTGGAACTTTAAAAAAAATTAGGTTAAGTGTCTCTTTAAGATTCAAATGTGAAATTATGTGATCTAACACATCTGTGCAAGTGGTAACTCAAACATTGTCATTATCTGTTCATGAGTTGGTAACAATGCAATGCAAAATACATATAGTGAATTGAGGTATTTGTATTAAGGTCCAAACAGGTGATGCAAGGAAATATGCAGCAGGAGTTTTTCTCAAGTTTAATTTGAGAACAAACATTCAGCCATCAGTCCAATCCAGGAAGTCTGCTGATGGTGAACTCTGGCCAACTTCAAAAGATGTCAGATATAACAAGTGGCCTAACCATTTAGATAAACAATTCAGAAGTTGGATGGTTTAACCAGATTGAATCTCAAAAGTTTGAGACATGTCTTGTCATTAGTATTTATAAAAGGAACACATTTGTTCTATAGCTCAAGTACTAGAAACAACAGGAATCTGAACAAATATTTTAGAATCTTGCCAATCCAATGGCAGGAGTGGCAGATAACTTACTTAGTGGAAGAGAGCCTCATATAATTTCCCAAATGCTTCATTAAAAGATGTCTGAATTTATGCTTCATGTAAAATCTTCTCTAATACCTATTAGATCTTATTTATTTGTAAATCATCCTGTCTTCTGAACCCAAGAGTAGATCTAGCTACTCTATTTTAGAGAGCTAAACTAGACTGGTTGAGATATTCAAGTAGTCTCATCAGTGTAAAAAATTTTTCCTAAGCATTTCATTTAAAAATTAGATGAGTAAGAGTATGCTATCTCCAGTATTTCAACAATTGAGTATTCTTACTTTTATCTTCCTGAATTATTCCCACGTCCTTTGCAACATGTACATTTTAATATGTTTATTTTCAGAAGAGCTGTTTAACAGTGGATCTTCCCATTGCTGATGTCAGTTGACAGGATGGCAATATGTATTGCTTATAAGCCAATGTGAACTTCAAGGACCAGTTCAGTCCCAGAAGTGAATTCCAGTGCAGTTAAGTAATCTGAAATTTTAGTCTAATTTATGAAAAAGTTCTAATTTGATAGTGGTGTTACAATGGGAACTAGGGACTTCAGCAGCACAGGATCTAGCAGAACAAATCAATTTAACACAGTCACCTATTTTTGAAAAGTTCAGAAAAGATTGTTTAATCATGACAGTGAATATTTGCATGTACCAGAAGCCATTCTCTTCTGCTAAGTCTACCACACATGGAACAGTGTGAAGTATCTGATAAACTTTGTTTAGAAGTTATCAACTTATAATATCTAGAAGAGTAAGGGCGTTTCTGAGATCAAAGAAATCTGGTCTGGAATCAAAGATCTAAGGACAAGACAGACCAGGCACAAATGAAAACAATGCAGATGCTCAAAAGACAACGAAAAGCACTTGTTCTTCATAGCATAACCAGCCAAGGAGAGTCATGGCATCAACTCAATTGCCCACTTGTTAAAAAAAAAAAAAAGACTAAGTGAGCATAGCTGACTCACCCAGGGCATGTAATGTTTTATGGATGAATATCACTGCTGTATTAATTATCATCAATAGCCATGGCAAAGGGTGGATATGGATTTTTTTTTTCGCACCTGGGAGGGTAAGTTTCCATGAAAACTTTGTAAGGCTGACCTAACAAACCAGAATGAAGGAAAGCAGAAAAACAGGTGAATGCACGTAGGTGTATAAGAGGGCAACACATGGAAATAGACTAAAGATTGGCAGTGTGTGTTGAATTGGAACATTTCAAAGTTTCATTACTAGGACTGCATTTAAAAACGTGTTTAGGGTGACTTGGAAGTCTAGTGGCAGTGCAACACAGTGAAACATGAGAAATCTGAATTTTCCTCCTACACAAGCAGAACATGGTAACGCAGAGACAATATGCTCAGCCTCAGAGCATTTGGTTGAAGCAACTTATATCACTCTCTAGTGAAACAAGCAGCAACAGCCTTTCTTCCTCTCAGAGGGCATTACGTCACAGGAGAAAAAAGGGGAAATGTGAGGCTAACAGGGCAAACAAGTGCAAAATATACATTTAATATGTGTACCCACTGGTAATGCTCTCCACTACTATGCAAAACAAAACTAGGGCTGGATTCATAGTCCCAGTCTCTTACTCTTCAGGCCAAGAGCAACCGAGAGTGTTTCCAGGGCATACACTCAACCTGAGGGAGAATGGTAAAGAAGTGCCTCATTGTTCTACAGTGACCCATACTGTTGATTAAAAGATAATGTTGACACACTCCAAAAGAAGTCCTGTTCAAATCCTTCTGAGTCAGAAGGATGGCAGCTCCAGTACAGGGTGTCACTGAAGCCAGAGCTTTAATATGAGGGAAAGAGATTGAATGATAAAAGATTTGACATGTAAGATTAAACCTCTGCTCCATTTAGCCCAATAGTTTGGTCCCCACAGTGGCTAATAAGTGTACTTCAGAGAAAAGCTAAACCCTCAAAGTGCACCCAACTGATTGTGCACCGCTGTACATGGAAAAGAAAAAAAATCTTCATGACCCCTGCATGCAATCGGCTAATGTGCTGAAATGTAAGGTTTCATTCTCTCGATCATAATAAATATACCCAAAATTGACGTGTGAACTGGAAAAAAAAAAATCAATGCCTACATTTGTGTTTAAAAAAACTGAAGCCGTTTTAGACTGATATAAAATAAAAACTGAATTAAGGCTGGGTACAAAACTACATCCTAGTAATGGGTTTCCCAATTGTCTAGGAACTGTTTATTTGTAAAGTAGCCCCCCCTGTTATGTTTTATACTTCATATTTCATGAATAGAAGTTATTTTGGTCAATTAATCATTTGTGGTCTCTGAAAGGGTTTTCCCCCGTTTATATTCAACCTACCTGCCCATAGTTGTCTATGCCAGTTACTAATCTATTTAAGTTTAATAAATCAAAAGCTGTCCTTAGAGACTGGCCAAGAGTCGTAAGTCCTTCAGCTTGAAGGTTTTTCAATTCATTCATAAAGGTTGCATGGTTTTCTTTCCAGCCAGCCTGCAAAGAGAAAGGCAAGAATGCTTATCCTTCAGATGTTAGCTGTGTACAAGGGGAGCCTTTTCTGTTACAGATTATAAAAATGGTGTCTTCCTCTCTTGCATGCATGTGGTTAAAAAATACCCCCCAAACTACCAACTCATCTTCCAAGTAACTAAGAACCTCTTCTGTTCTAAAGGCTTCAAAACCCAATCCCACCCCCCGCCCAAGCCTTTACGCCCCCCTTGTCCCCCACCCAGCAGAATATCAGCGTTTGGGTCCACGGTCCAAAGAGTGAGCCTACAACTTACTGCGGGTCATTAGAATAACCAGAGCCTGGTCCACGGCAGCGGACGGGGCCGGTCAATGACCTACAGCAGGTTCCCTTCTGATGTGTCATGTGGAGGCTCCAGGTCTCCACGCACGACGAGGGGGAAGCGCCAGCCAAGGCTGCCCGGCCCGAAGCAGGTACCGCTCCTCGCCGCCCCTGGCAGCCGAACTCGCCTTGGAGTTGCTGTCACTTCTCCTAACTTGAATCAATATCCCCCACAGTCCACTGCTGCTCAGACACCGCACAGGAAAAATGTCGGCCATGTTGATGTCAGCGCCGCCGCCGCTGCCAGAGCCTGTGTGTGCCTGTGCAGGGCGAGCTGCGCTGCGCCGCCGGGAGCGCGGGGGAGGGGCGGGCAGCCCGGCCCGGGGGAAGGAGGGCGATTCACGGGGGTTACCTTGATCGCGTGGGGAGGCTCCTCGAAAGTGACCAGCATGTACCTGTCTCCTCTGCTGGCGGGGTCCCGGGCGCGGAGCTGCGGGCACAAAGCGCAGGGTTACCCGAGGGAGCCAGCAGCAGCGCCCCGCATGCGAGCCCCCGCCCGGCCCTCCCCAGCCCCGCGCCCCCGCCACCGGGGCGGCAGGGCGCCCCCACCCTCTCTCGCCGCTTGTCGCAGGCAGAGCCGGTACCTTCATGAAAGTCTCTACAGCGCCTTTGGCTATGTCCAGATAGGTGGTGCCCAGATGGGTGCGCTGGTTCATGGAGGCGGACGTGTCTATCAGGAAGAGTAAGATGGGCATAGTGCGGAGCAGCAGCGGGGCCGGCGGCTACATGGACGGGGGCGGGGGGCAGACACGGGGGACGGGCAGTAGGAGCTGTGAGTGCTCTGCACCGGGAGGAGCGCCTCCCCGCCACCCCCCTCCAGGGAGCTGCCCTGCTCGCCTTTGTGTGAGGGGCCCGCTCGAGCCCTGCACGGGCTGCTTTATGAGGAGAAGGCGGACAGGGCTGCACGGCTGCCACCGCTGGCCCCCCTGTTGATGTTACTCAGAAGTTTCAGGCGGAGCAGCCGCAATCCACCCACCCCAGCACTTTCTCTCTCTGACTGAGGCGCTTCCTCGCTCGCAGTCCGCTTTTAAGGCAGCCTGGGCAGGTCGGGCACCGCCCCTACAGGCACGTCCCCAAGCCACGTGACCGCTTCCCTGCCCCGCCATAGGACTTCCGACGACCCTTCATTAGCATATTTAAATCGTGGGGAAAGAGAAACGAGGCGGCTCTAGCCGTTAAGGGAAAGGCAGTTGATGAGCACGCGTTCTAGTGGTGCGCATGCGCGTTGCAGCCGGTGCCCTGCCTCAGCGAGGGGGGGTAACAATGACATAGTAGCCCCGGCTGCCCTGCACAGGGAAGGAAGCAACCCATAGGAAAATGCTCAGCGGGGCTGGCTGGGAACCGTGGGGGGAAGTGGGGGCTCGCGAGAAGGGGGTGGGGGGGAAGAGGGGCCCCGCGGGACGGCCCGCGAGAAGGGGGTGGGGGGGAAGAGGGGCCCCGCGGGACGGCCTGCGAGGTTGGGGTGGGGGGAAGAGGGGCCACGCGGAACGGACCGCGAGAAGGGGGTGGGGGGAAGAGGGGCCCCGCTGGACGGACCGCGAGGTTGGGGTGGGGGGGGGAGAGGGGCCCCGCGGGACGGACCGCGAGAAGGGGGTGGGGCCCGCGGCTGTTTATAGTAGGGTAGTTCTCGGCCGTCAAGGAGGTCGGTACAGCGGCCCGGTACGGGACCGGATGCCCGGCTGAGGGGAGCTGAGGACCCAAGGATCGGCTCGGGAGTGACCTGCGGGGACGGGGCCCCAGTGAGAGGACAGAGGGAGCCGCTTGTCTGCGGGGAGGGGGCCAAGCGGGCGCTGGATGCCCGGGAGGCAGCAGGGCCTGTCGCGGGGAGCCGCTCGCCTAGCGACGGCCGGGGCAGTGACTGCGCGCTGGCCTAGCAGCTCACTCGATCCGGTCCCCCCGCGACTCCCGAGTGAGTCACGGGGCGGCGCTTGCTGCTGTCTGCGAGCCGCTCCTGTTCCTGTAACGCAGGCGCCCAGAGAGTGTCCCTGGGGCTGCGGGAAGGCCTCGCTGGGATCCTTCTTGGCGGGGGCGGGCACAAGGGGTAGCCGGAACAGGGAGCGGGCGGGAGGCGTGCTCACGGGGGAGCTCCCGCTCGGCCTGAGCTACAGCGGGGGCTGGGGCCGACCGACCCCGCCCGCCCGCATCCATTCCAGGGTCTGTAGGGACTGGAGGCGGGGGGCGGGGTGTTGCATTCTACGTGAGGAGGCGACTGTCTCATGGGAGGGTCAAGGGCGGAGGCTTTGGGGGGTGACTCCCCCATTGGTGTGGGGGAGGCAATTGCTAGGCATGGGGTGTTGCGGCCATGTCTGGGGGAGGAATTGGGACAGATGCTCTGTCTGAGGGCTGCGGGACGCAGTTTTGCAGCCTCTGGAGGAATAGGCTGGGGCAGTTCTACTGTGTATCTTTCAGTGAGACAGGCTATACGTTCAGATTGCCACACCTTGAGACAGCGTTGCATGCTTGGAGTGCTGTGGTTTTGACCTTAGAAGAATTGCACTTTTCTTCTGGTTGGATCCAGGGGTGCTAGAACTGGGGGTGCTGCATCCCTTGGCTTGAAGTAGTAATAACAACCAAACGCATGGTTTCTGCTTTCAGCACCCCCACTATAAAAATTGTTCCAGCTCCCCTAGTTGGATCTGAAATGTGATACTTACCTTGCCCAATAAAAACAAAACTGCCACCCCACAAATCACCTACTCAAAGAACTTAAAAAACTAGCAAGATTTTGCTCCCATTTAGTTTAAAGAAGCCACGGCTGTGCTGTTTCTCAGGTTAGGTAGGGCCACAAGATCTGAGGCCAGGCCACAGAAGCAAAGATATGACACTTCCTTTAATTTAAAGTGGTGAGTTAAACTAGTGTGCATACCAGAAGTTTAAGGTAGAATCATAGGACTGGAAGGGACCTCGAGAGGTCATCTAGTCCAGTCCCCTGCACTCATGGCAGGATTAAGTACTTGCAACTCAATCTGTTTTGTTTAGGGTTTTTAATGTATGAACAATTGTGAATAGTGCACAGGCAGAACCATCTCAATTATAAACTGCCAGGGGCTCAGACTGTGCATCTTACAGTTTGTCTAGGCTAGGAAAAGTGGTAGATAATAGGTTGAGGTTAGGGGGTGCATTTTGGCTAACCCCAGTCTAACCTCTTCTCAATCTTTCCTCAGTCAGTGCTGAGGCAACCTAAACTTACTTCCAATAAATCATATAGTGCTGGGGCTGCTTCCAATCAATTAGTGCAGGGTTCCCACCAGTATGCTGGACCCCTCTGCTCCCATCTCTTTCTCCAGCAATTGGGCCTCTTGCTTTTCCTTTCTATTCCCCTACCCTTAAAGAAGTAGGAAATCAGAGGTTTCTTTTCTCTTCTCACTTGGGAATTTAGCAACAGCTCAGGGGCTGCTCTGTTCCCCACCTGATTTTCTCTTCCTGTGAAAAATGTACCAGTTCCAGTTGATGTGCTCCCACCACTCCCAAAGAACTAGAAGCTTAGGAGTTGCTATGCTCCTTCCTTTCTTACCTCCAGAAAAGAAGCCAGGAGTTCCCAGCCTTATTCAGCTCACTTTCCCAGGCTCATTTCAAGGTAAAACATGGCTGCTTACAGTAACTGTGGTTCTTTGAGATGTTTTGTCATAGAATATCAGGGTTGGAAGGGACCTCAGGAGGTCATCTAGTCCAACCCCCTGCTCAAAGCAGGACCAATCCCCAACTAAATCATCCCAGCCAGGGCTTTGTCAAGCCTGACCTTAAAAACCTCCAAGGAAGGAGATTCCACCACCTCCCTAGGTAACCCATTCCAGTGCTTCACCACCCTCCTAGTAGGAAAAAGTTTTCCTTACTATCCAACCTAAACCTCCCCCACTGCAACTTGAGATCATTACTCCTTGTTTTGTCATCTGGTACCACTGAGAACAGTCTAGATCCATCCTCTTTGGAACCCCCTTTCAGGTAGTTGAAAGCAGCTATCAAATCCCCCCTCATTCTTCTCTTCTGCAGACTAAACAATCCCAGTTCCCTCAGCCTCTCCTCATAAGTCATGTGCTCCAGCCCCCTAATCATTTTTGTTGCCCTCCGCTGGACTCTTTCCAATTTTTCCACATCCTTCTTTTGACTCATATCCAGCTTCTCGTCTACTGTAACCCCTAAGTCCTTTTCTGCAGAACTGCTGCCTAGCCATTTGGTCCCTAGTCTGTAGCAGTGCATGGGATTCTTCCGTCCTAAGTGCAGGACTCTGCATTTGTCCTTGTTGAACCTCATCAAATTTCTTTTGGCCCAATCCTCTAATTTGTCTAGGTCCCTCTGTATCCTATCCCTACCCTCCAGTGTATCTGCCACTCCTCCCAGTTTAGTGTCATCTGAAAACTTGCTGAGGGTGCAGTCCACGCCATCCTCCAGATCATTAATGAAGATATTGAACAAAACCGGCCCCAGGACCGATCCTTGGGGCACTCTGCTTGAAACCGGCTACCAACTAGACATGGAGCCATTGATCAATACCCATTGAGCCCAATGATCTAGCCAGCTTTCTATCCACCTTATAGTCCATGTATCCAGGCCATACTTCTTGAATTTGCTGGCAAGAATACTGTGGGAGACCGTATCAAAACCTTTGCTAAAGTCAAGGAATAACACGTCCACTGCTTTCCTCTCATCCACAGAGCCGGTTATCTCATCATAGAAGGCAATTAGGTTAGTCAGGCATGACTTGCCCTTGGTGAATCCATGCTGACTGTTCCTGATCACTTTCTGCTCCTCTAAGTGCTTCAGAATTGATTCCTTAGGACCTGCTCCATGATTTTTCCAGGGACTGAGGTGAGGCTGACTAACCTGTAGTTCCCTGGATGATCTTCCTGCCATTTTTTAAAGATGGGCACTACATTAGCCTTTTTCCAGTCATCCGGGACCTCCCTCGATCGCCATGAGTTTTAAAAGATAATGGCCAATGGCTCTTCAATCACATTCGCCAACTCCTTTAGCACCCTTGGATGCAGTGCATCCGGCCCCATGGACTTGTGCTTGTCCAGCTTTTCTAAATAGTCCTGAACCACTTCTTTCTCCACAGAGGGCTGGTCACCTCCTTCCCATACTATGCTGCCCAGTGCAGTAGTCTGGGAGCTGACCTTGTTCATGAAGACAGAGGCAAAAAAAGCATCGAGTACGTCAGCTTTTTCCACATCTTCTGCCACTAGGTTGCCTCCCTGATTCAGTAGGGGGCCCACACTTTCCTTCACTTTCTTCTTGTTGCTAACATACCTGAAGAAACCCTTCTTGTTACTCTTAACATCTCGTGTTAGCTGCAACTCCAAGTGTAATTTGGCCTTCCTGATTTCACTCCTGCATGCCTGAGCAATATTTTTATACTCCTCCCTGGTCATTTGTCCAATCGTCCTTTTCTTGTAAGCTTCTTTTTTGTGTTTTAAGATCAGCAAGAGTTTCACTGTTAAGCCATATTTACTGTTCTTTCTACACATCGGGATGATTTGTTCCTGCAACCTCAATAAGGATTCTTTAAAATACAGCCAGCTCTCCTGGACTCCTTTCCCCCTCATGTTATTCTCCCAGAGAATCCTGCCCATCAGTTCCCTGAGGGAGTCAAAGTCTGCTTTTCTGA